CCGTCGAGAGCTGCGAGATCCACTTCCTATGATAAGATGAGATTACCCCCCCCCCAGTGCGCCTTGACCGGATCAGACCCATACCACACGCCTGAGAGGCGCTAAGACCCCAGCAGCTCACCCCCGAAGCGAGCGGAGACCGATGAGAGGCGATAAGATGAGGAGTCCGAGGATTAAGCACAGACGCGCTAAGCCGAGAGGAGATAAGATGAGAGGAGATAAGATGAGCAGAGATAAGATGAGCAGAGATAAGATGAGGAGTGAGAGGAGAGGAGATCAGATGAGAGGAGCTAAGATGAGGAGTGAGCGGAGATAAGAGGAGATAAGATGAGAGGAGATAAGATGAGCAGAGATAAGAGGAGAGGAGATAAGATGAGCAGAGATAAGATGAGGAGTGAGAGGAGATAAGAGGAGAGGAGATAAGAGGAGAGGAGATAAGATGAGAGGAGATAAGATGAGAGGAGATAAGATGAGAGGAGATAAGATGAGGAGTGAGAGGAGATAAGAGGAGAGGAGATAAGATGAGAGGCGATAAGATGAGGAGTGAGAGGAGATAAGAGGAGAGGAGATAAGAGGAGAGGAGATAAGATGAGAGGAGATAAGATGAGGAGTGAGAGGAGATAAGATGAGAGGAGATAAGATGAGAGGCGATAAGATGAGGGATGAGAGGAGATAAGATGAGAGGAGATAAGATGAGAGGCGATAAGATGAGAGGAGATAAGATGAGAGGCGATAAGATGAGGAGTGAGAGGAGATAAGAGGAGAGGAGATAAGATGAGAGGAGATAAGATGAGGAGTAAGCGTTAAAAGAGTTGTTACAGATGCATTTCCACAGCGGTAGCTGAGCTCCTTTGCACACTTTTCTCTATTTCACCACCTCAATGTTCACGAGTGGCGCTAGAAGGTTCTGGCAACTTTACACAAGGAGCTGATGGAAACCTTAGAAGAACGCTTCCATGCTGTACGATTCAGAGGATGAACTCTCACCGCCTGGCTGAAGACGGCGTGGCGCCTCTGGACGATGTGGGCGGGTCCCTGACCCACGGTGGTGGCCGCCGCCTCCTGCAGGAGCACGAAGGTCATGGCGGCTCGGGCCTTCTCCACCGCCTCGCGCACGCAGTCCCTCAGAGTGACCACCAGGGGGAGCAGCTGCTCCTGCCAGGGGAAGGGGGAGGGGAAGGGGGAGGGGGCTGAAGGGGGGAGACGACGTCACCGCCTCATCAATGAAACAGTCAGAACGAGATGATCCGTTTGCTTCCTAAAGCCTGAACCTGCTACCAAACAAGCGTCCTACCGGCCTCCTGCTGCGAGGGCGTCGCCTCGCGGCCGCTCAGCCGGTCCACCATGGCGACGATGCAGTTGAGGCTCACGGCGACGTTCGCCCAGGCCCTGTCCTGCACACGCACACGCACACACACACACACACACGCGCACACGTAAAAACAGGCTCACGCCTGCGGAGGCGAGGTGAACGTCTCCCACACACTTGCCCATTCCTCTTCGTCCCATCGCCCTGGCGATGTCCGCCCCTCCCGACTGGTCGTGGCGCGTTGGGGCAGCGCCCCGTTGCCGTGGGCGTCCGACAGCGCCCTCCTCACCAGCTCGTCTTTCAGCGCGTGGACAAATCGCTCCGTCTGAGGTCAAAGTGTGTAAATGTAAAAAAAAAAAAAGCAAAAAAATGAAAGGAGGCTCTGCGTTTTACAAATATTGAACTACACTTGTTTTGGGGGTGTACGCCCCCCCCGCCCACCCCTCACCTGTTGGGTCAGGCCGTCCAGGACCTGCTGCAGCCGCACGGCGCTCAGCTCCTGAGAGACGGACAGCAGCTCCTCAGCGAGCCCGAAGACCAGAGGCTGCAGCCGGGCCACGCTGGCCAGCAGCTCCCTGGCTCTGGAGCTCTCGTCCAGCGAGTAGGAGACGCAGCTGGGGGACGGGACAGGGGGAGACGGGGGGGACATCACCATCATGAGTGGAACTAGTGTACTATAATGTTTTAGCAATACGCTATTAGCAACATCAGCTAAATGGAGATTTTATGTATCTTTAATTATTCAATAAATATAGTAGTTTCATATTATGATAGACGCCTTTCAGTTTTAAAACCCTGTTGCATTCTGAGGAAGTGAAAAGAAATGGATTGATTGATATATATATAATATATGTATATATATTATATATATGTATATATATATATATATCTCATATATATGTGTATATTTGAATTGAAATCTACAATGCAGGGTCACTAATCCAGACAGAGCAGAGATTACAGAGATTAATCCTTTGAGAAGAGATGAGGGAGAGTACGGATGGAGGACACACACACACACGCACACACACACACACAGACAAACACACAGACACACACACACACACACACACACACACAAACCTGTCTCTGTGGTTTGCGTGTTTACTGAGAAGCTTCTTCAGTCCTCCATGTTTGAAGGCCTGATGGTGATCAGCTGGAGCCCCGAACGTTATGACCTCATACCACACGCCTGGGGCGAGAGAGAGAGAGAGAGAGAGAGACAGAGATGAAATTAGGATGAAGAGAATGAAATCATTTGGAAATGTGAACTGAAGATGGTAAGAAAGTTGAAAAAAATAGTTATAAAGAACATTACAAACAGAATTTAAAGTGCTTGTGTTATTAGAATTATTAATCAGAGGGGTCGTCATATAAATGAGAATAATAACACGAGGCTTCTTACGTTGTTTAATAAAAGAAGAAGGTATGAACCGGTTCCAATGTTGCTCTAAAGGTTCTTGTTATAATGTAACAAACTAGATCAAACTGTAACGCCCTGTGATGCAAATAGTTTTATGTTTTATTTTTCATTTGAATAAATACTTTAATTTTTAAGTTAATTTTTTAATTTTGAAATTACCTGCTAATGTAAAGGGAATACTGCTGTTAAAAAGAACATTATTTTAAGTCTTTGCTAAATAAAAGTGCACAAAACACTACTTCTGAATTCCCTTTTTTTATTTTGCAATTAACATAAAAATAATAATAATGATCTCCGGACGTACGAGTTGCGTCCGGGTCGCTGACCTCCATCCTCTGGGAGTGAAGGTTTGTGGGAACGAACTGAAGGTGTTTGTCGGATTTACTGCTGCTCGACTTAAAACAGGACGAGGCTGAAAGACACAAAGAACACTTTTCTTTCCTGCAACACAACAAAGTGAATTACAAACTCTTAACACTTTTTTTGAAGGTATAGCTCAACATTTTGGGCAGAATATTTTAAGCTCAAATTTAATGTGCAGAAGTGGAAGAATTACAGCATCAAAATGAACGTTATTAACGAACAAAAGTAATTAATATATAGATCTAGTCTGTATCTATTTTAGTCTGTGATTAGAGTAAATGATACAATATTCCTTTATTATCTTTAAATTGGCACCTGAGAGTTTTTCGAGCTCGGCGAGCGTTTCCTGGTAACTGCCAATCAGGCGGTCGCAGTGGCGGATGACATCACGGCGGAGCCCGTCCCAGCGGGGTGAAAGGTCACCGAGCTCCTTCACTTCCTGGACCCTGAAGAAGGGAATCGAATGCGGGTTCTTAGTGACAAAGGTACTAAAGGAATGAATGTCTCCGTCACAAACACAATACAACACATACAAAATCTTAAAAGAGGCGTTTGTGTGAAATGTTGTAGAGTAAAACATAAAATAACAATCCTTTCTGCCAGTGAGGTGTTTTTAAACACACCTGCTGGCGTGGCTGCGTATCAGCGCGCTCAGCAGCTGTTTGGGCAAAGAGAAGGAGAGCGGCGTCTCCGACATCTGCTCCCGGACCAGCAGCCATCTTTGATCCTCCGTCTGGAACCGGTACACCTTACACACCGGGACGCACAACACTGCACACACACACACACACACACGTCTTTAACATACAGTCCAAAGAGACACACCATCATCATGTCTGAAGCTGTCCGGCCTTCTCTCCTCCTTTAGCTCTGCGTTTGGTCTCCATCTCCTGCTGAGACGAACGTCTAGAAGCTAAGCTAAGCTAAGCTAAGCTAAGCTAAGCTAAGCGAAGCGAAGCGGCGTCTCACCGGCCCTCATCATGGGACTGTTTTCTCTGTCGTGAAAGGAGCCGTGGAGACGGTCACACAGGGCCGGACGCTAGAGGGTGGAGATGAAGAGTGAGACGCTGAAGAGTGAGACGCCCGCAGGAGACGCAGGTTCGACCGGAGCGAGAGCAAACCTGGGAATCGGGTGGAGTTTCTCCCTCCACCTGCAGACGGGACACCTTCACCTCGCCGGCCTCGTCCATCGTCCTGGTTCAAAGACACGTCGAAGCAGATGTTTGTCGTCACCCTTTAATACATGAAGCTCGCCGTGATATTCCATCAGGGAGAACGTTGCACCAGCAGCTAGCTTAAAAACTGCTAACAGGACAAAGCTAACTAGCATGAAAATAACGTCCAGACGATCCAATCAGGCGGCGTCTCACTCACCTCAGAGGACCGGTGGACACTGTAACAGCTGATAGGATCATCGGGACCATAAACGGGTGTAATAATAGATTATTGTGTGAGTATGTTGTGTTTACCGGAGACTCGGGCCGACGTGACGCTCTTTGGACCCCAGCAGATCTCTGATGGAGAAGGAGGTGAAGCCCAGAAAGCTGCTCTGGAAGAGAAGGAGACGGACACGTTTGTGTTCAATTAAACTGAGTTTAGTGATAAACAAGAAATTATGAATATGTGATCATTATTTCATCACTAGAGCTGCAGGACATCGATCCAACTGCCAAAATGTGTTAATGTTCAACCCGTGTGTCCATGTTAAATAGTTTATACCGACAGGTTACTTCTATATTATTTAATATGAATGAGGTGGAAAACATAATAAAAACAGTTGAGTCAAATCTTCAAAGAAACATTTGCGTAAATCATTTAACTTTATGTAAAGTCACATCAATATTCTGCATTATTACTCAATAAATAAATAAATACAACACACACACACAATCATCAAGGTCACGGACCAACAATCCCTCCCAGAGACTCGTTGCCATGGCGATAATCAGTGGATTAACTCGACTGAAAAGCACTCAAATCACACAGACACAAGTCGCATCTTCTTGCCTTTGACATTTTAATGAGATTCTCTCTTTCATTCTGGTGTTTATTTCTTATGTATTACTCACAACTACCTCCTCATACATGTATTCATTTACATAAATAAATAATACAAGTCACACTTGTTGTTTAGGGCAGAAGTTCTGTTGGGACAGAAGCTTCTAACTCCACAAAAACTGTTGCCACATTTCCTCGTTTGCGGCAGAAGGTTTAAGCAACGACAACAACACGCGCACACACACACACACACACACGCACACACACACACACACACACGCACACACACACACACAGACACACACTCTCTGAGCTAATGGGTCTCTGAGAGCTAAACAACAGGCTTATACGATTACATGCTGATCCTTATCAAACCTAGACACACACTCACGGTGCATGTGTGTGTCCCTGTGTGTGTCCCTGTGTGTGTGTCCCTACCTGTGCAGCAGAGGAGCTGTTGTCTCCTGGTGGACAGAGACATTTGGTGAAAGCCATCACGCCGCTCTGCATCCCCGCGAATAGAAACCCCCCCGAAAAACTCTCCTTTCGTCCTTTATTCAACAGCTAAAAATGGCATGTTGAGAGAATCCTACCAAAATAAAAGTCCATCTTATAGCAAAAAGAACAATATTTTGTGATTCGAGCGCTGAAAAAAGTCTAAAAAACATGTCAAAGAGGTTTCACTTGCATAAAATATCATTTAAACTGCAGCATTAAAACAACTTTCTGATCGAAGAGTAACTAGATGAAAGATGTGTGAATTATACCATAATGAAGTTTGATATAAAGCTGATATTTCAGAGTAAAAGTAACTTGTTCACAACTAAAAGTAATCAGAGTAACGCCAGAGTCACAAAATACACTGAATGCAACACTTTTACATCTGCACCTGAATGCACCACGGAGATGTCACCTTATTCTATTGAATTTAGGACAAGAGAGTCAAATGAATGAACAGCCGCAGCTGACGGATCTACAGACGATTAACAGACAGAAGAAGATGAAAAAGACAACCAGGAAACCAGGACAAATTGGGAATCCGGACAAATTAATCCATCAAATGAAAATCCTGCTTCAGACTTCTTCCCTCGACCGAAAAGACTGAAAACACCGGCTGAGCGTCTCTGCTGCTGCTCCTCCTCCTCCTCCTCCTCCTCCTCCTCCCCGTGTCATGGCCGACAGGATTAAAAACAAAACTTAGCATCATGGGAAATATGCAAATTATATTTCAAAAACTGAAATATAAAAAAGCGTACTTCCTCTCTCAGTGTGTGTGTGTGTGTGTGTGTGTGTGTGTTACACATCCTTAAAAACGAATCCTCTTATACGCTCTTAGAAATAAAGGGCACAGAACCCTTCTATGGTGTAATGTCCCGCCCAGAAACGGCTCCGGAGTTTCTATTCAGCGGCATGATGGAAGAACAAAAATGAAAAATGTTCCCTTGTGAATATCAAATATCCGGCTGTTATTGTAAAAGGCAACAAATGAAAGAGTGGATCTGGTCTGCGTTGCTTGTGTCAAGGTTGAAAGGATGAATAAAGTTTGCCTTCTTTTATCCGACCCTTCATATTATAAGTGAAAATGCATCCAGCGTGCGGCGTGATTGCTGCATGGCGTCATTGTGAAGGTTACGAATAACCACCCTCGTCTAAAGGTTCCTCAAGGCCCCTGAATACGCTCCATTCGGCCTCGGTGACACTGTTTTGGGTGCTCATGAAGCTGCCACAATGTTAGCATAGCGTAGCACCGACGGAGCCAAACTCCATTCAGAAAACAAGTGTTTTAAAAGTTATTTACCTGTCGGCTCGCGGCGAGAAATAACAAAACACGACTTGAGACTATTTACCAATCGGCATCTCGTTTTGTCCATCTGTCGCAATCCGGTCAAAAGGAAACCTGTTTATTTTGAGTTCACGCAGCCGCCGCGTGGAGACAGAATATGATGAATCATCAGATAAGAAATGTGAGACTTCCACAACAAGCACCGACCAGAAACTGTGGTTAGTTCTTGCACGGAGGATGGCGGCAATAAATGGCTCGGTTGGTTTCCATGGAGACAAGCCCCTCCCCCTCCCCGCCCGCTTGGCACAAATTAAAGCAAAAACAACAAAAACGAAATATCCTGCAAGTAATGAAACGCCAAAAATCCACTCCAGACAACTTTTTACAGAGACATTTACACACGCTCACACGCACACACACACACACACACACGCACACACACTTACTGTAGCATGCGTGGTCGGTTCCTCTTGGTAAGCGGTGACTTGAATCCGGTCGTGGAGGTAGAGGGTAGTCGCCACGGAAACACACCACTGTCATCCTGCTCATCCGGCACGCACACACACACACACACACACACACACACACACACTATTTGAGAGGACTTGCAAACATGCTCATCGGGGTGCATTTCAAAGTGTGTGTCCGTGTACCTCCACTATCTGGTAGCAGCAGTGCTTCCTGACTCCGTGAGTGTGTGTGCCAATCACACACACACACACACACACACACACACACACGTAGCGTGACTCTGCTGGCTGCCAGGCCAACCACAACGTACCATCAGAGAGAGAATGATGACACGCTGTCAGTGTCACGCTGAGGAGAGACTCCAGCAGAGGCTCCACCTGCTGGTCACAAAGCAGAATCACACCTACAAACATCACTGCTCATGACGGGTAAACAAAGTATGTCATTCACAACAGTATGTATGGTTTTTAATCATAACCAGCAAGTTCAAAGGTCAAATCGTGACTGATATTATATATTTGCAGTTTAGTCCAAACTTCAACTTGTGAGGAGAACTTAATAGAGCAGAAGAACTACTACTACATATATAGATATATAACGTTAGATACCTAATTACATATTTATACACACATGCACGTATAAATATACTAACCGCATGTATGTCTATGGTTAACTGCATTTATGTCTATGGTTAACTGCATACAGTATATGTCTATGGTTAACCGAACACGAGAGAAACGAGCGTAAACTTCAGCAAAAAAGCCTCTACGGCTTCATATGAGATAACGTGTACGCGATGTAACATGTCAGCACGACGCGAGCTTCGTCGGCGTCTCTTACCTGCAGGTTTGAGAGACTTTCTGAGACTGGAAGCACCTTTTCAGCAGCTTGCTGGTGAAGCGGTAAAACGCGAGCAGAGCGCCGCGGGGCTCAACTCTCGCGAGATCTGAGTCCTTCGGGCTGCGCTGCTCACGTTGATCCACAAGATGTCGCGAGAAAGATCACTTTCGATGAATATCAAACAAAACGAGCGGCAGAGAGAGAGAGAGACGCACTGCTGCTCTTCCCTCTACTTCTCTTATCAGCCCTCAGTCATAAAAACAAGGCTTGACTCTGAACAAACTCTCTGTCCATAGGAAGTGTCCTGTTGTCCTCTGGTCTGCTGGTCCTCTGGTTCTGTTGTCCTCTGGTCCTCTGGTTCTGTTGTCCTCTGGTCTGCTGGTCCTCTGGTTCTTTTGTCCTCTGGTCTGCTGGTCCTCTGGTTCTGTTGACACCTGGACTTCAGCAGGTGAGCATTAAACTCTTTCACTCCAGTCATGTCCTGCAAAGAGGTAAATGTGAAGGTGAGCAGAGATTGTTCCACATCTGGTTCAGGTAGACTTTTAAATACTTTTCTTTCTCTGCTTCTTTCTTTACTTTATTTCACAGCCAAAGATATCATTCTTTACGCCCTTGTTATATATTCAACTGCTTTACTCACTAGTTTGCTTTGGAGATTCAGATGATAACAACTTCGCTGTGTAGAATAAGGGGAAACTTTATGATGAGGGAGGTATGTAACAGCTTCTACATTAAAAGTGATTTATACATTAATATATACCTTATAATCCTATAATAGTATATATCATATTTTGGGAATTCACCATTTTGCATGATCTGTTTTAAATTTGTCACCAAGATTTCTTATTTTTGTACTTTTACTTAAAACACTTTAAAACGTAAGTATAAGTATAAAAGTACAGTATTTCTACAATGTCGTATTTCCACATTTACTTCAAGATATGACTACTACTTCAAATACTGCTGAGTGGTGTAGTTTTTAGGACAGAAAAGGGAAGTCAAATAAATTTGCTTTGGACTCAGATATTTTTATTTTCAGGAAATTTAACACTAAGGTCAAAGGTCAGACAGAACCTGGAAATTAATTTTTAGCCTCGTTAGATCAGCTATTTTCAGCTGATTTAAAGAGCCGAGAAACCAATTAAAGGTTTAAACTGCCGAAAGAAGTAAAAACCACATCGTCAGCTTTTGTTAAAATATCTGAAAAACAGAAATCTTTTGTAGATATTTGGGGTTTGAGGTGTTGAGTCATTTGAGTTTTTTACTTTGATGCCAGACTAACAGGCAATAAGCTCTAAATGTAACAATGAGCAATGTCTTCGTTGAAAAGAAAGAAGTAATGTGTATTTTTGTTCATTGGAAAAGGTTCAAAGCTCAGAAGTTAATTTCTGGATCTTTTCATCTACTCACAAGATCTTCATCTACAGATAAAATTCAAGATTTTGTCTTTACTTCTAAAGTGATATCTGACCGCAAAAAATAATGTAGTTTTATTGGCTCCTTTGCTTCAGCGGTACGCTAACACTCACCCACTGCTAATTTGAGCATGTGGGTATGCTCAAATTAGCGGTTAACGTTAGCATAAATAACGTAGCTACGATCCGTTCTTTAGCTTTTTTCTTTTGGGAACAAGAGTGAATATTAAGAAATCCAATAAAATGAATGGGGCGCTGTATAAAAAAGTGTATAAATGAAGCTTTAATAGCTTGAATAAAGGTTTCACACAGTTCCTGTTTGGTTAGATAACAGAATTCGCTAAGCTAACGGAACTCTTATTGGACTCGTTTTACATTTTTAGTCAAAGCTGACAGACTAAGTAGTGAGAATAAAACACTTTTTCCTTCTTAATTTATAATAATTACGCAAATAAAAGCAAATCAAGCTTAGCTCGCTTGAAAAAAGTTGAAAGGCTTATAGAAACGTTTCTTCTATTTTCAGGAGGAGGTGGAAGATGTCGAAGACCCAGGAGGCGATGGAGCTCGGGCTGAATGGAGCCTCTAAACATCAGGTACCTTCCTGCCTCCTGCGCTCTCAAACGTCACCAGAGTTATTTATTATACGTCGGCTTCCAGGGTAAATTCAATCGTTCCTCAGGTTGCAGGTGCGGGCCGACAGCGCCAAGGCGCCACCGTCAGCTTCCACAACATCGAGTACAAGGTGGTGCAGGGAGGAAGCTGCCTGTGTCGGAAGAAGGGCACGACCAAAGACATCCTCGTCGACCTCAAGTCAGTGAGCGCTTGTTGCGGGGGTCTCAGGTGTCACGCATCGAGCGTGACAGCCACTCATTTCGGTCTCTAGTCACACACTCCCGCCACACATCCGATTTATCACGCCAAAATAAAAAAAAATCCCTGCCGCGTTGGTTCCCGTCGACCGTATCGACCACCCCGGACAAAATGTCACTCCAAGGTTCCTTGAGTCGTTGAAATAAACCACATTAGTTTCAGTAAAGTCGCTTCAGGCACTTTGACACCAACCTCTCGGAGGTTAATCGCGTGGCAACTACTCACCGACGAGCCAGAGCTTTCGTGAACTTGCTAGCTGGGTTGCTAACGGTAAAAAAAGATCATTCAAAAGAAACATCATCTCATTGACTCCCGTCACGTGACTGATATTTTGGGGAGAAGTTTACACTCTTTTAATATACAGTAACTACATTTGTTTGACGCATCTAGTAAAATTATATAATCAAATCCTCCATTTTGAATTGACTGTGGATCCTTTGTTGTCAGAAATACTTAAAGATGGTGTGAACGTAAGTCAAGATATTAGCTCGTTGTTGCCTCGACCCCCGCAGAGCAAATCCACTGATACTCTTGATTCCATTGAAAGTCATTGATATTACTGCCAAATGCTATAAAATACTTTAATAAAAGAAACATCGTCTAAATCCCCAGTGGCAGGAATCTGTGCTCCTGCAGAAACAGGACCGACTCAACGAAAACAAGGCGGTTCTCCGTTTCAGGGTATTGTGCACCAATAGAGACCTCCGAACCTCCGAGATCCACCAAAGCAAGTTCCACCCCTTTGAGAAGTTTAAGTTTTCCCCCGAGTTTGTCAAACTGTGCAGTTAGTGTGCGTTTTGTTCGCCTACGTGCCAACAGCAGGACACCAGGAAGGTAAACAGGACTCGATCAAGGCCTCGAGCGGAGGAAGGAGGTGTTCTTTGTCGAGAGAAACTCACTGTTCCTCTGTGACAAACACCTGAGAAAACAGAAGCGCCTCAGGTTGAACCAACACGCTGGGACAAAGGCAGGAAGCCGCGGGGGAAATGCTGTCTGGCTAATTGTAGAGACCTCGAGATGTCCGAAACATTCACCACGTAACCTTTGTATTAAACACGAGCATTCGTGGTCGTGAGAGGATGAATCCCACTGAATGTGGTGGTGCTCTGACTTTTGCTCTGGGTCCACTCTGAGGGATTAAATCGACTGACCTCCACCTTCAAATTACTACACATACCAATGACAACGTCTTATGGTTTGTTCAACGAACTGCTGCAAACCTTCGGTAGTCACGGCTTCCAGAGGATGAACCCATTAAACTGGTTTGAGTGTGCGTCCACAGCTGTGTACAGCTGTCTGACCTCCTTCCTGACCACAAACCCCTCCAGCCTTCAATTATGTCACAAAGCATTATGAAAACGTTCAAAGTCTTTGTTTATGATGCCGTGAAACATTATGAAAACGCTATAAAATTGTGTGTCAAAGATGAGTTTGTGCGTTTGTAGAGGCGTTATCTGCGGTATTTTATTGTCCGGTGTAATCATTGACCCGACGCAAAGCCGAAGCTTCGCTTGGAGGTTCTTGGAGGGAACTTGGGCGGAAGATTTTCTCCTAAACCACACATTATTTACAAGGCGTCTTTCTGCTGACATCTTTAGTCTTTCTATGAAAATGTATCTCCGTGCCGCCAGTAGGCGCCTGAGACCCGACCGCAGGGTGAGAATCTGTTAATCTGTCACCGAGGGCCGGCAGGCCGTTAGACATTGGCTTTGCTTACTCAGGTTGGATACGGGGAGGTGGACTCTGCTCTGACCCCCATCTGGACAGCCAGAGCATTTGTGTCACTCAGTTGATATTATTTTGTCGTGAACCACATAATCGTAATTATTTTTCAAGTATTGCTTAAAGTAAGTTGGTTACGAAAGTGGGATCAGGTTGCTTTAATTTGACTCAATATCACATTTTATGTTTAATGTCCCCCACACATCGACACTTGATGTACGATTGTGTTAAAAAAAGACAAAATATGGAACAAGTGTAGTCAAATTAAAACAAGCAAATGAGTACAGGAAGAAAAATATGTAAATTAATGTTTGCGGCGTGATGAAAATAAACCACCTGACTGTGGTTGTTAAAAACTGTGATGTAATCGTTTATAGTCAGAAAACCCCAAAAACTCTCAGTTCTGAAGAAAGTGTGAAGTAGAAACAAAAGGGGGAAACGGAGAAAGCTGCAGCGTCATGTGAGGAAAATAAAATCTCGAGTCAGCAAAAAAGAAAAGTTCCATCAAACTATTGCAAAACTGAAATGTCGTAATTTACTCTGTTTGCAAAACCACGAAACACCTACTTATGTTAAGCTAAGCTAACTAGCCGCCAGTCGTACATTCATATTCACCATTCAGACATGAGTGACTGTCAGAAAGGAAGTTTACTTTACTCTGACTTTTATCCAAAAAAACACGAAAGTGATACTTTGTCTTTAAAAAATGTGTATTAGAGTTGGTTTATAAAACGATAAGCGAGATGATTGTTTAATATACTTTATTCAGGGTGTCCTGTAAACCACGCACGAAACAAACCTCTCATATGAACGTTCTCTCTCCCCCAGTGGGGCCATGGCGCCCGGTCTGAACGCCATCATGGGCGCCACAGGAAGTGGGAAGTCATCGTGAGTGTTCTGGTTCGGATTCACCGTCTCTGTCTTTTCGGGACACGTTTTGCAGGTTTTGCTGCTCGGCTCTCCGAGTCGACGCTTCTTTATGGGGACCTCCCGCGCGTTCTCCTCACCTTCTCGCCTTCTCGCGTCCTCCAGGTTCCTGGATGTGTTGGCGGCCCGGAAGGACCCTGCTGGTCTGTCGGGAGAGGTCTTGATCGACGGAGCTCACCAGCCTGCGAACTTCAAGTGTCTGTCTGGATACGTGGTGCAGGTGGGTTGGACGGGGGTCCGATCGGCGCCGTGATTCATTCTGAGAGACCCCCAGGTTCTCCTGCGCGCGGCTGATGGCGGCCTGTCGTCTCCAGGACGACGTGGTGATGGGGACTCTGACGGTCAGGGAGAACTTCCGCTTCTCCGCCGCGCTGAGGCTGCCGGCCTCCGTCT